TAATGGCCTCCCAACTTGGTGTCCTGCTTCGAAATGGGGGGTAATTGGAGCAGAAACGGACGTTTCTCTGCATCAAGTTCACATGGAATTCACTGCATTGAAGACCACAGAGGAAAAGAGGGGGGAATGTCACAAAAAGTAAGTTTCGAGAAATCGCATTTCAAAGTTTAAAACCTCCTTACTTTTTGGAAGTTGGAGGAAACTGAAATCAAATCACCTGGAGTCGTTTGATGGAGTATAATGAGCGGGAATTTTTTCTCGAATACGAATATTTTGAAAATTCTCTCGAGTCGAAGACTGTTCTCGAAAAAATTCCCGGAAATAATTGAAGCTCTCGTAATATTATAAATGAAAATAGTACATGAGACACTTATTATAATGTACTATTTGTTTTCACAACAAATTGTTTCCATGGATACCCCCTTTGCCATAGGGTAGCTGTATTGGATCAAACAGGAAACGGTATAGTGATCTCATATGAAAGCCATAGATGAAAGCACATTATTGGGGTGATAATTTGAAGAAAAAAACACGCAACAATGGAGGGTTAGTGAAAATGGATACAACGAAAGGCAGACAACACAATACCAACTAGAATAATAATGATGAAGTTGCGTAATACGTTGCATGTATCTAGGAATCCGTTTGGATCCGTAACATAACTGAATGTATAACATCCGTAACGAAAACATTGTTTATTTCCTATGATGGCTGAATCGAATCATCCGTTGTACTCGTTGTAATACTCACAATAAGTACAGGGTATCCCACATAACTTGGGCCACCCCCTTATCTGGTAAACTATTATATATACAGAAAAAAGTTCAGGATAAAAATTGTATAACTTCTTATGACATTTAATTTTTAAATACTGTCATTTATACAGGATGATCCATATGTCTGTGGCATATCACAAATACGTTTTTTCAAATGGAACACCCTATATTTCATCATATTTTTAGATAGTACTCCAGAAGACGAGTTCAATGATATATAACAACATGGGTCTGAGATCACTCGTTTCGGATTTATACACGATCTTCTTCAATAAATTGTCTAATTTCAAAGCCCTATAGAAACGTTGTGAATGAAGTTTTCGATTCGCAACTTTTGCTATAAATTAACAAAGTCTGTATATTATTTTGTTCTATGGTGAAAATTTAGGAATTTCGAATTTGCCAAAAGTGATGACGTATTTTGAAAACCAATAATTATCTCGAGATTTCCAAATGGAACACCCTATATTTCATTCCATATTTGCATAGAACTCAGAAAGACGAGTTCAGTGATCTATAATAACATGGGTCTGAGATCACCCGTTTCGGACTTATACACGATCTTCTTTAATGAATAGTCAAACAAAAAAACTAACAGTAACTGAGAAAACGAGTGAACATAACAACAGTAACAATTAGAAATAGTATTCAATTGAATATACAAAGTAGTCAAATCAAATTTTCTATATACCGTCCATTTTCAGCTATGCACGTAGTATATCTTATCGCGATATGTCTCAGTGTATTTGCTACTGCAGGTGATTCATTCAAATTCACGATTGCGACTCGTATATTTTCTCTTAATTGTTCTATGTTGTCACATCGATTTTCATAAACTTTGTTTTTCAAAGCACTCCTCCATAAGAAAAAATCTAAAGAAAATGATCATAAAAATTTCGATAATATTCGTTGTTTTCAAAACTCTTTATTACGAATTGTTCCACAGAAATTACAAAATTTTTATCTAATATGAAGATAACAGTCAGAATTTTGCCATTGAAATTTGATTATTTTTTTAAGAAGATCGTGTATAAGTCCGAAACGGGTGATCTCAGACCCATATTATAATATATCATTGAACTCGTCATTCTGAGCTTCATCCAAAGATGGAATGAAATAGGGTGGTGTTCCATTCGAGAATTTGTAAAAAATTATCGTTTTTCAAAATACATCATCACTTTTGGCCAATGCGAAATTCATAAACTTTTACCATGGATCAAGAAAACATACAAAATTTGTTGATTCATAGCGGGAACTGCGAATCGAAAACTTCATTCACAACGTTTCTATAGGGCTTTGGAATTGGGCAATTTATGGAAGAAGATCGTGTATAAGTCCGAATCGGGTGATATCAGACACATGTTATGATATATCATTGAACTCGTCTTCCTGAGCTCTATGCAAATTTGGAATGGAATATAGGGTGTTCCATTTGAAAGTCTCGAGATATTTATTGGTTTTCAAAATACGTCATCACTTTTGGCAAATTGAAAATTCCTAAATTTTCACCATAGAACAGAATAATATACAGACTTTGTCAATTTATAGCGGAAACTGCGAATCGAAAACTTCATTCGCAACGTTTCTATAGGGCTTCGAAATTTGGCAATTTATTGAAGAAGATCGTGTATAAATCCGAAACGGGTGATCTGAGACCCATGTTATTATATATCATTGAACTCGTCTTCTGAAGTACTATCTAAAAATATGATGAAATATAGGGTATTCTATTTGAAAAAACGTATGTGTGATAAGTCACAGACATATGGACCATCCTGTATGAATGAAAGTATCTAAAAAATAAATTTTATAAGAAGTAATACAACTTTTATTCTGAACTTTTTTCTGTAATACCTGTTATTGGCATTAAATTGTTTGTTGGGTCGCCAAATTGTTAAATAAATAAATAAATAAATAAAAGTATATATAATAGTTTACCAGATAAGGGGGTGGCCCATGTTATGTGGGATACCCTGTACATTGTTAGGAAGGTCATAAAGCAAATTACTTTTTTCTCATCGAAGACGTTACAGACCTGTCACTCTGTTATCGCCATATCTTCTGTTGAATTATAAAGCAACAGTTACTCTTGTTAAAAAAATTTAGAAGAGTTCTAAAGACAATTGACAAAATAACGCAACTGTCATTTTTTACTGAAAAATGTTTTCTCAATGTTTCCTCTGTGAGATAACCCGGATCTCTGCTGCACCCTGTAGGTATATCTATGATGTGGACTACTCTATTAAACTTACTTCAAAGAACCCTGAAACGGTCATAATTCAATTTATTATATCCGATTTTGTTATTCTAGACTTCTAGAAATCAGTCTACTTATCAAGTTTCCTCAGCTCATCTCCACTCTATTATATCCGATTTTGTTATTCTAGACTTATTGATATTGAGCATCAAGATCGGAACAAAATTCTTCCAATAATTCAATCAAGAGTAAGTGAATGTGAGGATGTGAGTATTTCTCTTCTATTTTGAGGAACTGTGGTCCTTTGGAAAAATCAATGCAGAATGCGGCAATGCGCTCCTTAATGTTTTGCTTAGTTCAGGCGTCGTAGTGAAGAAGTTAACGAGATATCTGGGGAGTTCTGAAACAGAAACTCCTATAATTTCCTAATGGATGCGGAAAGATACGGACTCGGATACGGATTTTAGTTTCTGTACTTCTGTTCTCAAATCATCGTTGCCAATTTCCAGCTATAATAATTAATCATAATAATTATTACTGATCGGACATTTTTCAACTCTAGAATCCTGAGCTGAAAATATATCTGAGTTACCGGGTGTTTCATTCGGTTTTATAAGAAAAATTAAAAATTATTATGTTTCTACCTGTTTATTTTGTTAATACGGATTGAAGTTTCTCTGACTAAACAGAATGAGATTCTACAGGATGATAATCAAAGCTATGCAATTTTTCAAAAATGTAAAAGGCCTTCCGTTTGAATGACATTTTTTTTCTGAGGTGGAGAACATAATCGCACCATCTGTTTTCTCGAAACAGTTCCGAAGTTTTCGGAATAGTTACACTCATTAAAGGAATATGAGTATTTCCATAAGAGGATTTCTATAGGCGGTGGTCAAAAAGCTTGATATTTTTTTTGTACGTTCTGGTTCCCACGAAAAAAGTATATCTTGTAATGTTCAGAGAACATCGTGAGAACCAAGGAAAATAAGATAGGAATTGGTGTTCTTCTTCAATTTCTGGAGGTTATATGCCTCGGGGAACACCTTCCTTGGCAATGTGTTCCAGAGCCCCGCTGTCCGTTGAATGAACGAGTCTTTGGAAAGAGATGTTCTGCAGGTCTCAGAAGTGACCACGAAGGGATGCGAAGCCTCAACTGGACGGGTTAATCTCGCGGGGACTGCCAAGGAAGGAACAATTGTTGATATTTCAGAAGAGCATCGTCCATGAAAATATCTTTAAAATAGAGCCAGATCGCCAACTTTTCTACGTTGTTCCAGAGAAGTGAGTGAGTTTGTGAGCGAGGCATCACCCACGAGACGAATTGCCCTTTTTTGACAGAATCCAACAGTTTCAGGGTATGTTTGGGTGCTGCACTCCAAATATGGAAACAGTATTCCAGGATTTCCAGGACAGGTCACATCTGTGCCTTATAGATCATAAGCAGCTGACTGGAAGTGAAATAGCTCCTTGCCCGAAACAGAAAACCAAGTTTCTGGGATGCACTTTTAGCAATTGATCTCACGTGATTTTCCCAACATACCCATTAAAACAGGGTGGTCCTCAACAACAACAATTATGTCATGATAGAAAACGAAAAAAAAACAATTTTCTGTGGTATTTGCCAGGAAAGTAGATATTTTCTAATCTGTAGTAGAAGTCCATAGTATCTCAAAGTGGAGAAAATGGATGGAGAGTAGTAAAACTCCCAGTCACCTCCACAATTATTTAATCGAAATCTAGACGATCCTAGTAGTAGCAGTTTCGAACCTTCATAGGTTCATCATCAGCTTAGATAATATAGATTGATTCCACAACGAATAAAGGAAAGAAAATTCAGCGACATACATGGAAGTAATTACTTACATGGATAAGAAAAAATCATATTCAAACTTCAAACAAAATAAAAATTGAAATAATCAAACATCATTATAGGTAAGTATTATTATATTGAATGGAGTTGAATACGATATTTTTTGTTAGATATTTCAACAATGATATTTTCATTTCTCGAAAAAGATGAAACATACCTTATTTCTCAGAAACGAAAAAATCTTCACCAGCTCAGCTCAGGCTCATGGCATCCTAGATGCTTCTCAGAACCTCAGAAATCCCACATCCATTACAAACTCTGTTCGATAGCACTACCACCGAGCTACATGCCGCAGAAAACACCACCCACCCCTATTTATCAGACTATATCAAATTCGTTTGATCGATGAGATGAGAGTTCAAATCAAATTACGGAATCAGATTCTCTGCTGTATTTCGCTTCAACTCAACCGCTTTTAGTCGCGCTTGCACACGAAATACGAAATAATCAAGAACGCCATGCGGAGCGCAGATTGCAGAGGCGCACCTATCGGAAAAAGCTCGGTGCTTCCCCCCCTTCCTTCCATCGAAGGTGTCGGTAAGGAAGGATCACGGAAGAGCAGCACATCAACTTTGGTTAGATACCTGAAGCGCATTCCAAAAACTTGGTTTTCTGTTTCGGGCCAGGAGCTATTTCACTTCCAGTCAGCTGCTCATGATCTATAAGGCACAGATCCGACCTGTCCTGGAATATTGTTCCCATATTTGGAGTGCAGCACCCAAACATACCCTGAAACTGTTGGATTCTGTCCAAAAAAGGGCAATTCGTCTCGTGGGTGATGCCTCGCTCACAAACTCACTCACTTCTCTGGAACACCGTAAAAAAGTTGGCGATCTGGCTCTATTCTATAGATATTTTCATGGACGATGCTCTTCTGAAATATCAACAATTGTTCCTCCCTTGGCAGTCCTCGCGAGTTTACCCCGTCGAGTTGAGGCTTCGCATCCCTTCGTGATCACTTTGGAGACTTGCAGAACATCTCTTCCCAAAAACTCGTTCATCCAACGAACAGCGAAGTTCTGGAACACATTGTGGTGTTCCCCGAGGCATATAACCTCCAACCTTATTTTCCTTGGCTCTCACGATGTTCTCTGAACATTACAGGACATCCCTTTTCGTGGAAACCAGAACATAAAAAAAGTAGCTCAACTTTCAATATCGATATACCTTATTTGCAGCTTTATTTTCAAAATGGTGTGTAGATGTTTCACTAATTTACCCTCGGTAGATATATATTTTGAGTTCAAGTCACTTCAAAGAAGCTTTATAGGTATAGGTTCATATCAAACTGATATAATAATTGGTTGAAATAGTGTTTTTTTTTCTGTTCATTATCATACTCATATATAGTGAGTCATCTCACGTAATGACGTATCTCATATAAATCGGAATCTGAGATACTTCGTCAAGTGATTTATATTCTTGTACGTGAGATATATTTTCATTATGTGTTGAAAATGTCGAAAGTGACGTATTTCACATCGGGTTTTTCGCGGAAATCAAAATATCTTGGGTGACGTATATCAAGGCACTGAAAGGAGGATTGTACAAGTGGAATGAATTTCTGTGTTTTTATCAATAAAAATGAATATTCGGATCTAATTCACTCGATATTCATGGGTCTGTGGCTTCATTAACAAACATGATCTCACGTAGTGACGTATCTCACAACTTTTTTTTTTCTGTTTTTGGGGATACTTTTTCGAAATCTCACCATATCATGACAACTAGTTCCAGTACATCCACTGATAAATGAAAAAATAATGATTTTTCATGAATAACCCTCTGAGTTATGAGCTAATTAAGATGTTGAAAATCTTTGAACTGCTCTGCTGTGAAATTAAGAAAACTGAGATACGTCACTACGTGGGATGACCGTCGATATATATTTATGTCATAATCATAGTGTTATACTATGCTCAGATGATTGTGTGATGCACATTCTTCTTTCGTTTTATACTCCTGTAGTTGGACTTTCAGTCTGTTGGATGTGTCACTTCAATAAATGAATAAAAAGATAAATCAATAAACAAAAGAATTGCTACCATCTTACCAGGAGAGTGCGTTCATTATACCACGAAAACAAGTCACATATCTTGCAATGTCATTACTTGAGCATCTTTTTTTGCTGGCAGATTTTCCCATTTGGTAGTGACCAAGTTATACACCAAAATGACACTTTTCCATGAACGTGCGTCACTTTATTCATCGGAGTAGAAGCACGACGTTTCGGGCGTATATGATGATCTGACCGAAATAGCATTGGCTGTTACTTGTTGAATCGAGTGATCTCCCGTAATCCAAAACTCCTTGGTGAACTTTATTTCAGTCGCTCATTTTCGATTGAAAGAATGTATATTCACTGTGGGCTATCCCACTTCTGATATCGGAGCCTCATTGATAGAGACGTATTCAAATTACATTGTAATCAAACGACTGCTGGTGAGCAGACTCAATAATATTTGTTCCAAACCAATTATTATATGCGTATGAGCTACTTTGATAGGAAGCATATTCAAAATCTTCAAGTTCTTTTGCGTTTGTCCAATGATTCCGAAGCAGTAAACTGGGATTCGGGTTTCACCTTAACTCAACGATATTTAGAACTTTGGAACTTTATTTACGGTTATCCATTGCATACATTATAATCAGAAATATTATTACAGGATGGGAAAAATATGTACCTATGTAAATATTCAACAAATACAAATAAACATAAATAACAAGAGAATATCCTAAATCAGTATGAATCTATCACAGTTATCACTCACAGTTGCTATATATCCTAGATCATTATGAATCTATATCACAGTAATCAAACACAGCTGCTTATAAAGGGGTACTATTAATGGTAATCAATGACTTCTTGAATAACTGAAACGAATTACTGAAAATGTCGAAATGTATACAATTATTATTGTATTGGATGATCTGATTTTAGGGTGCAATGTGTGAGCTTTCGACCTTCCGGGTCTCATCAGTTAGGCGAAGAAGCCTAAGAGCTAATTTGATTATTGAGTTAAGAAATCAATCTACTCATAAAGTTTCCTCAGCTCATCTCTACTCTAATGAGACGTTTGAATATCATCGACTTTGTCGATTTCTTATTCTGTGCCGTTTTATGACGCTCGTTCCTCCTTTTTCCTAATTCTTTTATTTTTTCGTCTTTACGGCAAAGAAGCGATATTTGCCCGGAGTTTACGCGAATGCGAAATACCTCGGCAAGAATTTCACATTACCCATCGGAATTCTCTGCGGATAGTCTTATATAACAGATTGAGACGTTTACTTCACCCCCTGTAGGCTGAGCACGGAGTTCTACCAATGTGTAGAGGCAGGTCACTGTTATGTATTCAGTTTTTTCTAAAAAAATCGCAACATAACGTGTTTTTAGATGATTTTCCAAATTTTTTTTTTTAAGAACTGAATCGAATTTCGAAAAAGTAAGACGACAGGAACATAGATAAGATCTTCACGAATATGTAAAAAAATTTTCATCCACTCAAAATGAAAAATGACCCTGAAAAGTTGGGGACTACGAAACCCTTGCATTATTGATTTATATCATAGTACAACTTCCTCTTAAGACTTTTTGCTGTGAGCTCGACATTTTACTATAACTTCAGACTTTCTCCTTTGATGACTTCAGATTTTTTGCTTTGTATTCAGACTTTTTTCGTTGAATTTAGCCTTTTTTCTTTGAATGCAGAGTCTTTTCTTTGAATTTAGCATTTTTTCTCTGAATTCAGACTTTATTCTTTGAATTCAGATTTCAGTTTTTTTTTTCTCCAAATTTAGACTTTCTCTTTTCTATAAATCTATACTTTTATCTTTGAATTCACAAAGTTTTTTCCTGGATTCAGACTGCTTATTGCATATTCCTAGTTTTTTCTTTGAATTCAGACGTTTTTCTTCGAATACACAAAGTTTTTCTCTGGATTCATATTGTTTCTATCAAATTAATACTTTTTTCTTTGAATTTAGACTTTTATCTTTGAATTCAGACGTTTTTCTTCGAATTTACAAAGTTTTTCTCTGGATTATATTGTTCCTATCAAATTAATACTTTTTTCTTTGAATTTATACTTTTATCTTCGAATTCAGACGTTTTTTCTTCGAATTCACAAAGTTTTTCTCTGGATTCAGACTGTTTTTAACGAATTTATACTCTTCTCTTTGAATTCAGACTTTTTCTTTTGAATTCAAACTGTGTCCTTTGCATTCAGACTTCTTTATGGATTCAAACACTTCCTAAGATATATCTGTGAATTCAGGCTTTACTTGAATTTAGACATTTTTCATCGAATTCAGACATTTTCTCTGAATTCAAACATTTTTCTTTGGATACAAACTTCTTTCTCTGAACTCGACATTTTTACTATAAATTCAGACTTTTTTCTGTATAATTCAGACTTCTTGCTTGGTAGTCAGAATTGTCCCTTCAAATTTAGACTTTTCTCTTTGAATTTACACTATTATCTTTGAATCAAGACGTTTTTTCTTCGAATTCACAAAGTTTTTTTCTGAATCCAGACTATTCTTATCAAAATTATACTTTTTGTTTTGAATTCAGACTTTTTCTTTCGAATCCAAACTGTTTCCTATTAATTCAGACATCTTTATGGATTCAGATTCTTCGTCAAATTCTAACTCTTCTTCAATTCAGACTGTTTTCTTCAAATTCAGACTTGTTTCTACGAATCCAGACTGTTTCCTTCTGATTCAGACATATTTTTTAAATTTTAAAACTGCACAAACGATAACGATCAATTTATGTATTTATTAAATGGCGTCCTTGCCTTATACCGACCATTTCTCTAGACCTCATTTTTTTACCTCAACTCCAAACTGTTTTCTCTGTAGAAGCAGAAACTCTTTTTCATACATCAGGGTGTCACTTCAAACCTCTTGGGAGTTTATCCAAAGACCATATTAGTTCCGCTCATAAACGCTATTTCTATTCCTGATTTCATTACGAAATTTTCGTGGTAGGCTTAAATAACGGTTTGATGAACATAATTTTCATGTTCAGTGAGAAATACGTAACTGGATTGATCGACCAAGAAGTGTGACCGTCGATAAGATCCCAATAATAATAACAAATAGTAAGACAAAATGGGTAGACAACATAAATATGGACTTGGCAACAATTCTCGAATGGGGATCCAATAACTTGGTAGATTTCAATGCAAACAAAACACAAGCATGCCTTTTTTCTAGAAAAGCCGATCTCACTGTGCACAACATAAGCTTGTCAGGAGTAACCAAACCTTCGAAGACATCCATTTCGATGCTTGGTATTATTATCAGCAATAACCTTTCTTGGGAAAATCACGTGAGATCAATTGCTAAAAGTGCATCCCAAAAACTTGGTTTTCTGTTCCGGGCCAGGAGCTATTTCACTTCCAGTCAGCTGCTCATGATCTATAAGGCACAGATCCGACCTGTCCTT